GCATCCATCAGGAAGTACGCTCCCATATGGTGATCCTCACGAGAGGATGTCTATTCTCATACGATATTGTGAGGTTGATTTGGGCTGCGCCAGAACTTGAGCGCGCGCGAAGCGCGCGCACGTGGCTTGACTACGAATCTTTGGGCGTGCAGAGGCAGGAACCTAAGGAAGTCGGGCTACTAAAGCGGGTCCATCCCCCTCTTCGTGTTATTCATTCACCTCCGCTTCCATCGTCGAGCCCGCATACTATCAGGTCGAGTCAAACCATATTCCAAATATGCTCAAACACAGTCGAAAGATCGTCCCCAGACTATTGTTCGACTATTTGTTTGGTATTTTCCTGTAGAGGGGCAGACCCGATTTCAGCATACTCCTGTTGCAGTCCTGTGTCGCCCTTCCTATTCCTCCACCCTCCTGACGTCGGCAGCGCCGCCCAGGCGAGAAGGCAGAGGGGGGTGGGCCTTCTCAGCAGGCTTAGACTTTTGAGTCGGGCCTGTCCCTCTACAGGAGGAAGATTCCAAACATAGTAGTCAAACAATAGCCAGGGACGATTTTTCTTACATTTTCTTGCAATTTTTGGAGTATTGCGAAGGCCTTACGGCCAGTGCCGCCGACCCTGAAGACGGCGACGACGAGGACGACGAGGATGTTGAGGAGCAGATGGCGGAGGACGCTAGGGAGCAGGAGGGGCGAGGAGGAGGAGGAGGAGAGCAGGGACGCATTTGCAGGAGAAGGATGGCTGACAAGGAGGAGGGGCAGCGGTGGGTAGAGCGTGGCTAGCATGAGCAGCAGGAGACGGAGGAGGAAAGCAATGACGAGGATGTTGACGATGATGACGACGCGGATGATGTCGGTGATGGTGACGACGATGATGATGATGCTGATGCTGCTGATGATGATGATGATGATGATGATGATGATGATGATGATGCTGATGATGATGATGATGATGGTGACGATGATGATGATGCTGATGATGATGATGATGATGATGCTGATGACGATCATGATGATGATGATGATGATGCTGATAATGCTGATGATGATGAGGATGATGATGGATGATGATGATGATGATGATGATGATGATGATGATGATGATGATGATGATGATGATGCTGATGATGCTGATGATGATGATGATGATGATGATGATGATGATGATGATGATGATGATGATGATGATGATGGTGATGATGGATGATGATGATGATGATGATGATGATGATGATGATGCTGATGATGATGATGTCGTTGAGGGAGGGGGTGTTGTAAAACCGGCGGCAGGAGAAGTTGGAGGAGGAGTAGGAACGTGATGATGATGGTAATGAGGGGGAAGAGGAAGGGGATGAAGAGGAGGAGCCCGAGGCCGAGGAGGAATGGGAGTAGGAGGCGGAGGAGGAGGAGGAGGAGGAGGGCGAGCATGGGCAGGCTCACGAGGTCGAGGAAAACAAGGGGGAGGGTGAACACATACTCTTGTCCAGGGTGGTTCCCCCGAAAGGCAGATGGTGGACATGGACGACGTGACGACGATGACGACCACGACGACAACGACGACGACTACGACGCTCACGACGACGATGGACGACCAACTGTTTTTTGGGCAGCGCGTCCGTGGCCGAAAGAGGAACAGGAGGGCCAGAAGAGGGAGGGAAACGGGAGTGGCGGGGAGTGGGGGAGTCGTATCTGCCCCGTGACCCCCTGGGACCCCCCTGGGACCCACCCCCGGGATCCCACCCTAGGGACCCCCCCCACCGGCGGGGAAGGGATCAAAGGGAAGGGGCTTCCCTTCGACTCAACTACAACGTGGCTGAATTCCGCTGTGGCTGGCGCGCTTGAGGATGAGGGCCCGACGACGAGTCAAACGGAACAGTCTTCCACACGCCGACAGGGTCGGCGGATTTTTTGGACTATGTTTGACGTTCCGCCCAGAATCCGCCAGTGGGGGGAAATGCCCGACCTAATGGAGGGCTCAGACGGCTTCCGACCTTCTGAGAAGCCTTCTGAGCCCTCTCCGAATACGCAGGAGGGCTTCTCGGAGGGCCGGGAGGCTTCCGAGAAGCCCGCCGCCTTCAAGAGAAGGCCTGCTCCCTCTCACCTCGCCACTCGGCGCGACGCCGATACGCCTCTCCACGGCCTGCTCCTACGCTGCGGAGCTGAAGTATCCGCAGTCGGCCCGGGGGCCCGGGGGGTGGGCGTACTGGCGGGCGCACGGGCGGGCCGCTCTCCTCTCCTCTCCGCTCTGGTCTGCTCCGGCCTCTCCTTGGTCTGGCACGGTCTGCTCATGAGTCGTATTGTTTGGCATGGTCCGTTTCTTTGGTGTCGCCAGGCATGGTGTGATTATCATCATCATCCTCCTCCTCATCATCAGCATCATCATCATCACCATCATCACCACCACCATCATCACCATCATCATCACCACCATCATCATCACCACCATTACCATCACCATCATCATCAGCAGCATCATCATCAGCATCATCATCATCATCACGATCATATTAACCATCACCACCATCTTATCATCATCACCCTCACCTTCATCACCATCACCATCAGCATCATCATCATCATCATCATCATCATCATCATTATAATCTTTATCACCAGCAGCAGCGTCATCATCATCAGCATCATTAACACCATCACCATCAGCACCACCACCACCATCATCATCTTCATCATCATCATCATGTCACTGGTCTCGCCAGGCATTGCGTGATCCAGTATGTATCCGCTTGTTGTTATCAGCTGGTACGAAGTTATCAGGAGTGGCCCAGGCTTCCCACGAGTTGACGATCTGACGTATTGCCCCCAGAGCTCGATTCGATTCGACTCCTCCTCCTCATGTTCCCCGCGCTCCAGAGTCTCTGAGGCAGCATGCTTAGGCCTGCCTGTACGCCGTAGGGCTGGTGAGGGTCGGCGTCCTGGGTATTTTGACGTGTACTTGGCGTTTCAGATGGACGGTAACTGGGTGGCAGTCAACATGGGGGGATTGATGACACCAGGATGGTTGCCCTACAGTGGCCAGAAATGGCCCCTAAACTGCCACCGTGGGCCCAGGCAGGTACACGAAAGGCGTGCGCTTCTCCACCCCATCGAAGCTGCTTCGAGCATCGACGCTCTCCTTCGAGCAGCACGTGAAGATCTGTCTGAATTCTGGTTCCGGCAATGTACAGTCGGGGCCCTGGAGAAGGAAGCCTTCTCGTTGGGGAGGGGCTCGGTGTTCCTTGATTGTTTCACAGCCTGCCTTAGGTTTTTCCTTAGGTTTTCGATATGGAATCGAAACTTAACTTTTGGAAAATAGGGGCCTCGTTCCTTATTTAGGGTTCCTTAGGTCAGCGCCCCGACTGTAGTTGCATACGCAGTTCAACAACAGTGGGAGAGCAGGGTCTGCAGAAGCGCTTCCCCACCTCCGCAGCCACCTGCTTCCAGAGACCCCGCGGACGGCCGTGCCCGCAGCACGCATCTGGCATGCTGCATGCGTCGAGTCCAGGACACGCGTCCTCGTCCCCCCGTCAACGAACACCCCGAGCGCTGGGGAGCAGCCGAGGCGGCGGCGAGAAGCGGCGGCGGCGAGTGCGGGCGGCGGGGTTGGCCCCCAGAGTGCACCTGCACCCCGCCGTCCGCCTGGCCGGAGCCATCCTGCTTGATTCGGGTATGGCCAGGACCCCAGGTAGGGGGACCCGGTCAGTGGTAGGGCCCTGGAGCCCTTGAATTGGCCAGAACCACTAAACCAGGTTTGCCGCAGCTGGTGTTTTCTCGGGTGACGCCAGTTCCGGTTCGTGGAGCGGGGCGGGGGGGCGTCCTCCAGCACGCATCACTTAACCAGGTCCCGCTAAGCCCGGTTCTGCCAACGCCCCATTGATGCCCGTTGTGCGGGTTTGCTTTCCAAGAGAGACCACCTGCACAAACATAGCCCTCTGGAGGTGCGCGCGGATCGCTTGGATCTGCGGGCGGCGTAGGAAGGCGCTGCCCGCGGGCCCCGGCGCAGATCCAAGAGGCCCGCGCGGAGCTCCCAAAAAAAGTTTGAGGCGGACGCCCGCCGGGGGGCGCGCGGCGCAGCATCGGCTCGCGAGCGGCGCGAGGGGCTCGAGGAAGGCCCTCCGGACGAGCAGCGGCATCCCCTGGGCCCCTGTGCAGGCGTGTGGACCCCTGCTGGCCTCGGCAAGGGGCGCGTAGAGGTGGGTCTGCACCACGCCCGGGGCCGAAGAGGGCCCTGGCCCGGCACTGGTGTCAAGTCGGGCCCTGTCCCCCTGCAGGAGATGTTCAAGAGTGGTCCAGAAATAGTCTGGGGACGACTTTTCGACTACCGTCGAGCAGTTTTTGAGTATGTTTTTTGTTATATATATATATATATATATATATTTGTGTATATGTATATATATATATATATATATATATATATATATATATATATGATTTTTCGTCCAAAAGCTCCCTGTAGGGGGACGCCCGACCCAAGCGTAGGTGGGCCTGCACCACGCCCGGGGCCGAAGACGGCCCTGGCCCCGGCGCTGGTGGCAGTGGCGGCGTGCCGAGGCCCTCTGTGGCGGTGGGCGAACACCGCCCGCCAGTCGCCCTCGCGCTCGTCCGCTCACCCTCCTCCCCCCCCTCCCCCCTGTGCTCCTCCCGCCCCTCGTCCTCCTCGCCCACGCCCTCGCCTCCTCCCCTGTCCGTCCTTCCTCCCTCGCCCCCTCCTGTCCCTCCCTCTCTTCTCGCTCCTCCTCCTCCTCCTCCTCCCCTCCTCTCTCCTCCTCCTCCTCCTCCTCCTCCTCGTCTTCTCCTCTCCTCCTCCTCCCTTCTCCGCCTCCGCCTCCTCCTCCTCGTGTTCCTCCTCGTGCTCCATTCTCTCTCGTCCTCCTCCTCGGGCTCCTCCTCCTCCTCCTCCTCCTCCTCGTGCTCCTCCTCGTGCTCCATCCTCCTCCTCCTCCTCCTCCTCCTCCTCCTCCTCCCTCCTCCTCTCTGTCCCCTCTCCCTCGCCTCCCCCCCTGGAGGCCGACAAGCGACACCATCCCACGGCGGCCTCGACTCTGAGGACGGGCGCTGCCAATGCGCTCCCCGTTTCGCGCACGGGGGCGCCGCCCGTCTGGGGAGGGCGAGGGGCTCGCGCCCCTTCCTGACCGGACATCCCCTCGGGAGGAGGAGGAGGAGGAGGAGGAGGAGGAGGAGGCGGAGGAGGAGGAGGAGGAGGAGGAGAAGGAGGAGGCGGAGGAGGAGGAGGAGGAGGAGGAGGAGGGGGAGGAGGAGGAGGAGGAGGAGGATTTGTTCTTCCGTCGACGGCGCCAAGCTGCCCACATACACCTCAAGCGGGGGGGCGATACCCGCCAGGGGAAAAACAACAAACAAATTAATCAGACCCGGACTCGGAGTGGTCTCCACGAGCTCTAGGTTGACTTGGCCCCGCAGCTGCACCCACGAGCCGCAAAGCAATCGAGACTCTGGGCAGCGTGCGAGGGCTGTCCGAATCCTCCTCCGAGGGGGGGGGAGGAGGCACGGCGAGGGGAGCAGGATCCTCATCTTCCTTATTGCCCCAAGGGCCAACGGTTAAAGTGACTCCGGACTTCTTGGGGTGCAGTCCTGAAGCAACCTGGTTCCAGGCGTGCTTCCGGCCTTGAGCCCCAGATCTTGGCAAGGGCTTGCACTCCGAGGGCGGCAGCTTAAACACATAAACACAAAACTACCGTCGCTGGCGTCGAGAAACAGCATCTTATGCCCCAAAGCAGCCAACTTTGGAGCATCATAGCTTCGAATTCCCACGCCGACTCCCCCCCAGCAAATACCTGCGGTCGGTCTCTCCTGAGACCGAGCCCCTCGGAAGCAGGACAAACACTGCCAGAACCTACCAGTCCAAGACCAGGAGTGTCCCGAACGCGGGGGTCTCGGGGCGCCGCAAGGAGGCGGGGGAGGAGGAGGATTACGAACAACATTGGGGCCCATGTCAAGCTTAGGCCACAAAGGCATCAATTTAGCCGCCAGCACAGCCACGGCCAAAGAGACACGACATTGCTCGTCCAGCCGCTCGACGGCCTCACTATCAAATTTAGGGTGAAGCTCCACCGCTAACTTCGCGGACCGATCGACGGCGCTGTTACCTTCACGCATATACCGCGTCCAAGCATCTTCGCCGTCGGTCTCGACCTGGTGGGCCCTCACCTTTGAGACAGAGCACTGGTGCGAAAAATCTCTGCAGAAGTGAGCGACCCCAGCAAAAATGCGTTTCGGCGAGCACTGTGCAGGAAAAGGCAAACTGTGAAAATCTACACAGCTTTGACAGTCTAGGAAAAGGTTCGTTGGCCCCACAGACCACTGCAGCGCAGCGCTATATGCATGAAACTCTGCAGCCTGGGGGGTCTGGGGAACAGGGCCCCAGACTGGTCCACGGACTCTCACCACTTCGAGACCTGTGCTACGATCCCAGACGGTGAAGGCCCAGCCAGCCCGATTGAGCTCTTTCACCACCCGCCTCGTACATGAACCATCCCCGAAGATGTCGCCCTGCACCGCCTCGGATAAGTCGCCTTGCTGTTCAGAGGCCCACTCTACAACGAAGCCTCCAGAAGATGCGGGAGCTGGAAACTGGTCCCCAGGATGAGGAAACACTCCGTAACATGCTAGAGCATCGTTGGCTTCGGCAGTGAGCCTGCGGACATCAGGTTGGACAAGCTCAGCGTGTTCCGCTTCCACCGCGGTGCACTCCCACAGCCGGTGCCTCAACGTGTCCCGAGCCTCCAAACAGAGGGCGCACAGGTCGCCAATCACATAGCCTAAGCTGACAGCGCGACTGCGAGTGTAGATGGCATCGCAAAATAAGGCCCGAATGCATCCCTGTTGGAAGGGGGTGAATTTCTTAGACCGAAGAGAACACAAGATGCCGTCCACGCACGCCCGCGAAGACATATTGAACCGAGCCCCCAGGTCCCACTCCAAACCCCGAAGCACCGCTTTCTTGAGGAGGGTTTTGACGAGGCCCTGGGAAAACACCGTAAGTTTCACAACTTGGCCCTGATCCGTGAGAAATTCAGCAAAAGACGGCATACTCCACGAGATGCGCTCGCAGCTCTTCCGCAGAGCAGCGACTCGTCCTCCAACACTGCGCCACAGCGGAGATTCGCCGTCGAAGCTGCCAGCCCACGCCTCCCGGAGCTCGGTGAGGGGGATGGAGTAGGGGTGAAGATGAAGGTGAGAAATCCACACCTCTTTAGCCCAACGAATGATGGGGGCCACCGCGGCGAGCCAGCACGGCTCCTGGTGGGCCAAAAGCAAAGCCGTCGCCGCACCGACGCCGAGAGAAGAGGTGAAGGGACAGGGGGACCGCTTTTCTATTGACTCGTCAGATGCGGGTCGGTAAGTATTTGTATTTGCCCCATCGCCATTCCCCCCCTCTCCCTCCCGTCCCCTGCCCTCCCTCCCTCCCTTTTTTTTTTTTCTCTCTCTCTCTCTCTTCCCCCCCCCTGTTCCCCTCTCACTCTCTCTCGCTATGTATATACCTGTCTC